ACTAAAAAAGAACAAATAATAAAAATGAAGAAAATAAAAATAAATTCAGATAATTTTCAGAAATTAGCAAATATTGTCTTGAATATTGTATTTGTGTGTTGTGCAATTGAACTTATTGATTTTAAAATTGTCATTATATTTATTTGTAGAATACCCAATCAAAATAACCTGTATACCTTCTTCCAGAGATTGGAAAAACTTTTGACTTATTTTGCCAATCTTAATTTAAAAAATATCTTGATTGCTGGTGATTTTAATATAGATGTTTTAAAAAGAAATAATTTTACCTTTGACTTTGAATGTTTATTATTAAGTTATAATCATAAGCTAGCACTACATGAGACTAGCCAGTCGGACATGTATTGACAATTTTGCACACAAATTCAACGCAAAACCGAAATTTTAGAATAAGGTCTATCAGACCATACTTCTCAATTATTTAAAGCACCTGTTAAAAAAATACCGACATAAAATTTTTGGCGCACCAAAAAACGTGACTATAGCTATGAAAACATTGAAAAATTTAAAGTTTGTATTAAAAGTTTATCTTTTTGAAATATTTACCAGGATAATGATCCAACCATAGCCTATCAATATTTCCTTTGTTTTCCACAAATACAAGTTTTGATAAAAGTCAATGATAAACCAAAATAGTCAAGGTTTGCAGTAGAAAAAAAAAGATTTGCTTTGGAAATTTAGATTAAATTCAACTAAAGAGAACAAATTAAAATATGTAAATTATAGTAAATTATTTTAAAAAATTATATCCTTAACGAAACGTGCAGAAAATAATTATAAAATAAAAATCTCAGATAATAAACGTAAAACAGCGTGGCAAATTATAAATAAAACAAGACTCAATATAACTAAAGAAACTATTGTCGACATAAAAATTAATGATCGAATCTGCATAGATAATCCTAAAAAAATAACTAATGCATTTAATAATTATTTTATTGAAAAAGTAAACCCCCTTCCAGATGCAGGTAAAAACGTAACTACTACAATTAACCATCAATTAAATTCAATGTTTCTTGCACCAAGTTCATCATACCAAATAAATAAGATTATAAAAACATTAAAAAACACGAACAGTGTAGGATACGATGGTATTTAAACAAAAATAAATAAAGCGGTAAATGAGTATATATGTCGCCATCTTAGTCACATCATTAACTTGTGTATATCAACAGGATTATTTCCAAAAGACCTTAAATTGTCTATTGTAAAACCATTATCCAAAAAAGGAAATAAACAGTTAATGTAAAATTATAGACCCATAGGATTATTATCAATATTACCGAAATTTTATGAAAAATATCTTCATGGTGAAATTAACTCCTATCTCGAAAAACACAGAATAGGGTTTCAAAAAAAATAAAACCATTAATATAGCCATTTATGATTTCATTAAAAATGTTATATGCCACTTTGATAAAAAGATCTCCCATTTGTGCTATTTACTGCGATATGTCACAGGCATTCGACTATGTAGGCCATAATACACTAATTAATAAACTTCCTACCTAAATAATCGACATCAAATAACAGAAATAACTAGAGTAAATTTTGAAACCAGAAATGTCCAAAACATCCAAAAAACGTTATATGTGTCATATGGCGTACCCCAAGGCGGTGTACTCGGGCTACTCTTATTTCTTATATATGTTAACGACTGGCCAAATGCAACGACTCAGCTTATGACGTTATTTGCTGATGACAGTACTGTTATAATTGCATGTAGTGACATTAATAATTATAAATTTGACATTAAAAACGCATTGACATCTATAATTTCATGGCTAAACAATAATAATTGAAAAATCAATTTAACGGAGACAAATATAATGCACTTTGGACAAAGATCACAAAACCCATTAAATGTTAATTTTATTTATGACAATTACACCATGAATGAAGTTACTACTGCTCGTTTTCTTGGCTTGATTATGGAGAGTAAATTAAATTGGAGAGAACACATTAACGTATTATGTAAAAATATCAGCATTCTTTCATATGCCCTTTATAAACTTGATGCACTTTTCTCGGCATATTATGGTCTTGTTGAATCTGTTCTCAGATATGCCATCATTTTTGGGCCAACTCAACAAACACATACGTGGCATTTAAAATGCAAAAGCGATGCATACGCTTAAAATGTTCGGTATTCATAGTACGGAGAGCTGTAAGCCATTATTTATTAAACACAAGATTCTTACACTTCCGTCGCTATATATATTGGAAGTAGCTTTATTTGTTAGAAATAATACTTGTTTCCTCGCCTATCAGATAATGTAAAATGTAATCGCCGAGATAACAATAGACTATGTGTTCACCAGGCTAAAACAGCGCTACTGTGTAAGAGTGTAGTATGCAATGCTCCATTAATATATAACAAAATTCCAAATGACATTAAACAATTGAATACAGGCCTATTCAAGAAAACATTAAAAAATATATTGACTTCAAAAAGCTATTATAATGTTAATGACTTCCTTAGCGACAAATCTTTATGAATGTAATAAAGCTATTTAATTACGCTTTTTTATATGATTATCATTGTATTGTTAATTCCATTGTATAATTAATTTTGATAGGAAAAATTATTGACATTTATTACAGTGAATTATTTTATGTTGTGTTACATTAATTAGTAGATATTGTATCTCTTGTAATAACCTATTATTTATCTGTTATAGCTATTCTTTTTATTTTTTCATACAAAACACCAACTTTGCTAAAATATGTTGATCAAAAATTAGAAAATTCAGACCAATAATAAACATTAAATGTATTATTATCTACACATGTTTTTGCAAATAAATATATGTTTATCTTTATCTTACCTTATCTTATACATTTTCAGCAAAAACCGATTATAGGAAAAACTGTGCACCGATTATAACGTGTGTGCTGATTTTAGGAAAAAGTAATAAAGCAACAGCAGGTTGATGTGCAACGGGATGTCCCTTAGGGAAAAGTTGGTCCTGCCGTCCTAGATAAATCAAGTTTGTCCTAAACTTATACAGTAACTTTTAAAATTAAAAACATTATAAAGTCACCAATAAAATAACCGTTCGGAAAAAAAATAGGAAAGAGCTCTAGATGTTGATTTGGCGTTTATTTACAATTTCGAGGTATCCTTGAAACTAGAACCCAGAGACCAAATAAGTTTAAAGATACCTTTTGTGAGCCATTTTTACAGTATTTTCAAAATATTCAATTAAAAGTTCATTTAAGAATTAAACTTCAAATAATAATGGCTTTAAATCCACATTAGCATTTTGTTTTCCGAATATGCAACACGTATTTTTTTATTAACGTACTAAAACAGGAGCAGATATCTTTTATATAACAGTAGAATCGCATTATTTAGCAGGGATGGGAGATATGATAAGGATATAGAACGACGAGTGAATGTGGGAAATAGAGTAAATGGGGCCCTGCACTCTATTGTGAAGAGTCAAAATGTGTCAAAAAAGGCACGTATGGCAATTCACAATGCTGTGTTGGTCCCTACTTTAACGTATAGTAGTGAAAGTTGGGTGTGACAGAAGAAGTACGAGAGTAGAATCAACGCAGTAGAAATGCGGTCCTTAAGGAGTATGTTAGGGTTGAATCTGAACGACAGGGTAAGAAATTGTGTAATAAGAGAAGAGTGTGGTTTGCAAGATGATGTTGTGACCAGGATTAAAAAAGGAATGCTTCGGTGGTTTGGCCATGTGGAAAGAATGAATGAGGAAAGAGTGACAAAGAAAATTTATGTTGCAGAAGTGAATGGCAGAGTCGGAAAGGGACGTCCTAGGCGAAAATTTATCGACCAAATTGGCGATTTATTGAAAACGGGCCAAATTAGGAGTACCCTTAACCGACGAGCATGTATGCGTAGGTGTATGGATGTGAAGGAGGCGAGAGATGTGTGTCAGGATCGTGCCAAATGGAAGTCTGTAGTCTCTGCCTACCCCTCTGGGTGACAGGCGTGAGTGTTTATGTATGTTTATGTATGTATTTATAGAATCGGACTTATGGGTCCTTAATATAATAAAAATTTGGACAAAATAAATAATTATGTATATTTTACTTATAATATTCTATTTCCAACAGTGGGCTGTTAGGCAAAATATGAAGATAATAAACATTCTACAAGCCGCCGAAGAAGATTAGTCAGTTCCTACCATCCGTCAAGTGTCATATTCCTCTGCAGGAGTGTACAAGCTTGATAGTGAATGTGGTTTCTCTTATATAGGACAAACAAAAAGATCAATTAGAACCCGCGTAAAAGAACATATAGCTGATGTGAAGCATCAAAGTTCCGGGAAGTCTGCAGTTTGTGATCATATCCTAGACGGCCCCAACCATTACATCAGATTTGATAGACCACAAATCCTCGCGAAAGAACACCGATTCCTACCAAGGATGATACGTGAGGCTATTGAAATTAAAAACATCCTAATTTCAATAGAGAAGGAGGCTGTGTACTACCACCTGTTCGGGACCCTATAATCAATAAAATTAAAACTAAACCCAAGCATACCACTGCAAGACCTCATGACATAATCAGTTCATTTTGCATAGATCGGACCATAAACAATAATTTAAAAAGCTGTAGGTACTCCGGGTTTATCATTGACATCGGGACGTCAGTCACCTCAGTCCCCCGTGACCATTTGTGCTGGAAAGCACCCGAAACGTCGGGAATTAAAAATAAAAATAATTAAAAGTAAAATTAAACGCGGTAAAATCCGTAACAGTAGTTTTAATCAATTTGTAGTGTTCGCGTAAATATAAGAATTATGATGTAAAACGCTACTTCTCTACTTGTAGTTCTCTTAAATAACTAAAGGTTAGATCTTTATAGAGGCGGCAAGGGATTTTCTAATTCGTGGCAGGCACTTTCTACCAACTGCCAGGCAAGATGAAATTGTTCTTGACACTCACCTGACCACGTTATTTGGAGCTCTCTGTCTAACGACACGTTCTATTACCCAAGTAGCGATTTATTGAAACCAGTTACCGACGAAAGTAAGTGCATAGTAAAATTTAAATTTATTGGTCATAAACTGCTACTATACAATTAAAAATATTTTTCGTGTAAAATTTCTGCACCAAGGATAATGTTTTTGTAGAAGTGAGATAAGATGTTCTCCTGACCGACTTCAACTAAGGTGACAACTTCACACACGAACACCGTCGAGAACTAATAATTGTGAAGGAGTTAATATAGTGCGACAAAAGATGCAAAATTATATTGTTTTAGTTTAAATTAAAATATCTTTTTATTAATATACAGACGTAGAAATAATTAATGCGGAAAGTGACAAAACAAATTTACGCTGCAAAAGTAATAGGCAGAGTCAGCATGAGAAGCTCTAGACGAAGTTGAAGGAAGACCCAAGAAAGAATTGGTAATATATTGAAGATAGGCCGAGTTAAGAGTACTCTTAACAGACAAACATGTATGCGAAGATATATTGGTTTGAAAGAAGTTAGAAGTGTGTCAGGATCCTGACAAAGGAAGTGTGTAGAGTCTGCCTACCTTTCTAGATAACTGGCGTGAGAGTTTATGTTTGTGTGGAAATTAATCGGATCTTAACAAATAAATTTTAGCATTCTAAGTTTATGTAATATTCAAATGTATGTATATTGACCACATCGTTTATCCGATTTGAAAGATACTTACAAGTTATATGTTTTTATATTTAATGTTAAAAAATATTTTCCAACGAACGAGCTTTATTAATGAATCCCTCACGTGTCGTTTTATCTGTTTCACATGCGGAAATTTGCAATAAACGTGATCTTTCGTTCGGGAATTTTACGCAATGTGCGTCGTTAGCGACATCAATGAACTTGATTGATGTCGGCAGCAGCCCATCTTGATAGGGAAAATACAAGCATGTTACACAAGACCTTGTTAAACGTTATCCGTCTAATAACACAAAGTAGTTTGTAATTTTTCAAGATTTAAACTAGAGTCTAATTCGATAAAGAAGTCCCATAAAAAATATAAAATTACAATAATGAAATCAGCATCATTATTATACGTGGTAGAGACATGGTACAGTTATATTTTAGTAGTATGGTTGTAGCACGAATGGGTCAGCTCGATCCGGGAAGGACCACGCTCACAGAATACCAGCGTAAAATAGTAGCTTAATGCTGCTGTGTTTCGTGTGGTGAGTGTAGAAAACCGAAGACCCTTTTTACTGGAAACGAGGCATTCTATCTTAGTCCTCAGTGGTGACAACGCATCTGCATTTTGATTCGTAATCGAGGATAGATGTAGATGTCTATGGGCCACAGCAACCACTTACCGTCAGGTGGACTGTGTACTCGTATGTCACCCTATCCTATAAAAAAATCACCATTATAGCCCTTAGCAAGTCCACTGCTCAATATAGTAACAATATAAAACACGGTCCTGAGCCACCTGTATCTATACCATTGACTTCCTGCATTTCTTAACAAGTCACCACACGTGTGGTGGGGAGCCTATACTTCGCTTACCGGTAAGGAATTGCCATTCGAGAAGCTTTTTTTCGATCGGTCGTTGTTTCTTCGAACGATGAGGCAAGCACATTGAAACTTAAACTTTTTGAACATTTCATTTTTTATATCACTTGTTTACAAATAGATATTTGCAAAAATATACATTTGTATTTGTAATATATTACCTATTATATGTATATTTCGTAAATTTTTATTTCATCCATTAAAGCTTTTCAAGCAGATGGATGCGGACCTCACCACTATAAATATAATATAATATAGGTCGATAGACTTAAATGGGCTGGAGCAGAGAAACGCAAAAAGGCACCCCGAATCTGGGGAAACCTCACTTGGGGAAACGATCACCCTAAGGGTTAGTATCCTTTGGTCATACGGAAACTTCAGATTTTATGGATTAATATAGCGGGTCGCAGTGTCCGTATAAAATAAACAAAATATACGTTGATAAAAATAGATTTACAAAATCAAACAATATTCAGATTTCAACTGATAGTCACTGAAGGAAAAGGAATGAGATCTTATCGGTTCTCACAAAAATTAGTATAACTGTATCACTAACCAAGATCTCTTTACACAACTGAGGAATCATATGATCAAATTTCACCGGTCGATAAACACTATACTACTAACGATAAACAAAAAATATGTGTGGCCTAAGAGGGTGATTGAACACTCGAACAATTGAGTTCATGAAACACATAGAGACTTGCAGGCCCACTGCTGAAATCTCAGTCTCAAATTCAATTTCAAAACTCTATAACCCTTTTTTATGTGAGACTAGGGAAAGACGGGTTATGATATATCGGACTCATAATGATTAAAAATAATTGCCTTGCAATACCGGTATTCTTCCGTCCCCGCGGCCTTGCCACCACCGCACCAATGGTGAACCCCACTGGAGTTACAGAGAATTCGCCCACGGCTCCACTTCAGCTGCGGCGGAAAAGGTAGAGACGGCACACTTTTCATTACACCTACCAGCACTCATCCGAGGTAGGCTCAGCAAGCCCGCTTGGGACGGCTTCCTCGGATGAGCCTTGTGGGTTCAACTTTTTTCACTTTGGTAATCAAGCCACGGCTGCTTAATCGTTGCGAAGACATAAAGGGTACCTTTTCGAGGAGTAATCTCACTGCACCTAAAGAAAGTTTTAATGTTGATAAGAAATTATATCCAACGAAATGTATTACTGCACAACTTATCAATGTCAATTACTTTTCTAGTTTTTTTTTTAATCTGGTTTAGTTTGCTATAGGTTATTAAAAATTACGGACCAATATTTACACGAGACCTTTTGTAACAAAGACGTTTCACGAAAGGTTATTTATAAGGTCTCGCTACGCTGTTAGGGTTCAAATTAGATTTACATAATTATTTTTCGTTCGTAACGAAATTTTACCTAACTTAATTAGTTGAAGTTGTAAAAGGCAATGTCGTTTGAGATATTTGAACAAAAATTATTAATTTCAATTTCAATTTCAAATCATTTGTTGCTTCTATAATGTACAGTACATTAGCAGTTACAGTGACCATTATAGACCCTGTCGGGCGTTGCAATATACTAGAGATATACAAAAAAATAATTAAATAGACTTATAACTATCTAACATCATTATATTATATTTGGCTATTTTGAAAATAAAATTTTATTTAATACTTAGTATTTTACTGCTTAGTAATTAACTATCGAAAAATTCAGTGAGCGTGTAAAAGCATTTGGAAATAAGATAATCATGAAGTTTTTTTATTGAATGAACTTAATTTAACTTCAGATTTTATATTTATGGGTTATTTTAGTGAGAACTACAAAACCAACTAAATAATGTAAAAATTTAATTCATATCAAATTTTTCTTTATGCAGGTACCAAGGGATAACGAATGGTAGTTGTACTTTTTACGTGATATAACTTCTTTTGTGTAACTTTAGATTGCTATTATGATTTAAAATTCAATTTTGATTAATAACTGGAATAAATCTTTTATTTTATCGCAACTTACACACACCTATTAATAATGTTAAATTGGCTATTCAAAGACCTTATTTAAAAAGTGTCGAAAACGTGAACATATCCTGCAGGAACCCATCCATCCATTTGGACAAATTACGACAGTGTCCAAATAGGATATAAGTGGGATATCTGAAATAAGTTGCTTTTGCCTTTTTCATCTGTCACATTGCGTTACATTTAAAGATTTCAAGTAACTCTTGGGGATTTACAAGAATCCCTTCAATAAACAAAAATGTACATTTGAAGTGGCTTTTACATTATATAAATAAAGTCCAGACGTAGGAGGAATACAAAACATTCAAAACAGTAGAAATATGTACTATATGAAATTCCTTATTGGTGTAAATAAAAAAGCTTTATAATGTATGTATACTTAAGAAAAAGTATTATTTTTAGTTTTACTTTTAAATGTGGTATTTAAGAAAAAGTTATAGCAAAACACATTTAATTACAGAACATAATGAAATACAATATTCAATAAAAATAATAAGCCCGACCTGTTGATAAGTGGCGACGCCACGGACCATAACAGTTTCCCTTGGAGTTGACAATTCCTTGGCTTTTATTACCTTTGGCTTGTGTTGTTCAGATTAGAGTACTAGAGCTTATTACAAGGGCTAAAGTACTATAGATTGTTCGGAATAACTAAAAAATTAAAAACTACGGTTGCTAACCCGCCTCTAAGCGTCGCAAGTCGCAACTACGAGTATAACAAATATGCCCTCTATGAGGCAATCCAAGGTGTTATTTGACAGTCACTGATTTCTTTTGATATTCTTTCAGAGGCTTCAATTATTACGAGAGAATTATTACTCGTAAATACACTATCTTAGCACTAACTTCAGAAGCTATTATGTGGAAATTATTTTATTATTTTTAGTTTTTGAAGTCGTTTTTTAACTTAATGATTTCTTATATTTACGCGAACACTACACATTGATTAAAACTACTTATACGGATGTTATCGCAAACTGCAGACTTCCCGGAACTAACGTTCCCGGAAGTCTGCAGTTTGCGATCATATCCTAGACGGCCCCAACCATTACATCAGATTTGATAGACCACAAATCCTCGCGAAAGAACACCGATTCCTACCAAGGATGATACGTGAGGCTATTGAAATTAAAAAACATCCTAATTTCAATAGAGAAGGAGGCTGGGAGACTACCACCTGCTTGGGATCCTATAATCAATAAAATTAAAACTAAACCCAAGCATACCACTGCAAGACCTCAGGACATAGTTCATTTTGCATAGATCGGACCATAAAAGTAAGTTTTTATTAATCAAAAAAGCTGAAGGTACTCCGGGTTTAACAATGACATCGGGACGTCAGTGACCCCCGTGACCATGGGTGCTGGAAAGCGCCCGAAACGTCGGGAATTAAAAATAAAGAATAAACCATAATATCCGTAAAAGTAGTTTTAATCGTTTTTTACTTTTTTAAAGTTTATTTTTTATTAAAATGTCTATTTAGTCCTGAATATAGAGCATATTTGGTAAT